AAAACAAATGTCGTTAATTGGGGCGAACTCTCTAGATCTTCATTTTATCTAAATGAATTCAATAAATATAATTTATCCGCGTTACATTGCCAAAATATATACTGAAAGCATGCCAGTTGGTCAAAAGACGAATTACACAATGCAATCTACCATATTCTCCCTAGCAACAGTATTTAGGACATTAAAGTGTACAAACCAACGCACACTTGAAATTCGGAAGTGAGTGTTCCAAATTGCACACAACCCATGTAATTTTCAGAGCGTTGAACTACCCGTATAAATTTTGTTGCTATCGACATTCTTTTGACCGTTATAATGGCAACTATAAATATACTATTGTGTAGCCTAGATATTGAAAACCTACAACTTGCCGCCAAGCACTTCAACTCAACCAATATTTCAAAGTCATGCAGAAAGTTAGGCTTACTAATAACATAGGTACATGGCTTATTTTATGTAATTTGCCTATTCATTTAATAATTACTGATCTGAAAAGTGGAAGTTACTTGGCAATATTATGTCGGCGCTTCTAAAATTGCTATAAATTATTCAGAAATCTTAAAAACCATTATTTAGAATACCGCATTAAATAATAGCTTCTTTTGTAAAATATATTCTGTTTAATCGTACGTATAACTCTTTTGTATAGTTGGCCAAAACCTCCTTTCTAAGGAGCGGGCTATGTCCAGCATTGGACTGTTCGATGCTGTTGATGATGATGATGATGTGTAATGTATTTATATGTCTAACATCAAGTAGCACTCACGTCTATCTAGTTATCTGACGATAAACTATTTTGATATTAAAAAAAGGACAAGGTAATCAGTCAAGAGCCAAATGAAGGAATTACAGGAATTCTGCGAAGTAATTGCTAAAAGGTTGGTCTTTCATGCGACAGATGAATTGGAATTGAAATTTGATTTGATTGGATGGAACTTAGATAATATGTAGGTACTTCGTAAATAAAACCCCTAAAACAAGTTTTTTTAGGTTTTTATAGGGGTTATAGGAAAAACCCGATATTCTTTCGCTATTAAAAAGATAATGTTTTAAGTATAAAAGTAAAACACTTCAAAGTAACTGCGTAATTTGTTCACGTTCAACGTTTTTTTACTAAACGAGTTCAAATTCAATTACTCTTGTAAAGTAGTAATAAATTGAGACAGACTTACACAGCGGCACTTAATCTTTAACCCATTACAAGTCTTTTATGAAACGGAGTACCGCATTAGAGGAGCTTGACGTAACTTACTCATTGTTTATTGCTGTCGTGTAGAAAGCCTTACTAGTCATCATCATAATATATGTCAACCTAAAAATACATAGGTACACTGTTCCAATACAGGATCCTGATGCCAGTACACCACATCAGAAGCTTAATCTCTAGTAACCACTACAAACTCTTTTTTTTTTAAAGAAGGGGCAAACGAACAGATGGGAAGTGACTAGCGCCACACACGAACTGTGGCAGTCTATAATCAAAGGTATAAAAATAATACGGCTAATCTATCGTTTCCAGAGAGGTGGTAAGGTTACATCCCACCTTCTTTACATGGATGATTTGAAACTGTTTGCATCCAGTAATTCCATAGGTACTGTTAAAGTTACCAGAAATCACTAAAACCTACAGTGACTGTATCAAGATGGAATTTCGAATAGATGAGTGTACAATCATGCATGTAAAAAAGGCAGGGTTGTGGAATCTGATAGGATGAAATTCTCAAATTCCACGCACGTTAGATCTCTCGGCTAACCAAACTTACAAATATTTGGGTATGTCACAGGCCTTAGATGTAAATGAGTTGACTATGAAGCAATCGTTACAGGAACGCTTTTTTAGCCGCCTGAAAAAAGGTAAGGGCCTCTAATGATTGGGTCATACTGGTTCTAACCTACTCCTTTGACATACTTAGGGCCCGTCCGCACGGCGATATTTCACCGCAAGGTTTTTATGCGCGCGGAAATAAATCGACCCCGTATCGCGTTAGCGTTATAATAGAATAGTCCTATATAGATCGCATGTGTCACAGAACTTGTGCAATATCGCTGTGCCGACGGGCCCTTAGATGGACTCTACTGAACTAGATACACTGGACAGAAGAGTTCGTACATTGCTTACTGCTTACCGAATGCATCATCCACGTTCATCATCAAGTATTTGGATTTGGCCTATGATGTCATTGTGTCGATGGTCACATCAGCCCATGGACTAATTGCTAAGAGCTCGACCAACATCTTCAGAGGCTCGCGTTAGGTCGCTGGATCAAGGGAATGATACAGAAAGCAGGAGGTTTCAGTCTCTGGAGTCCTAACCACCGCCATCTTGGTCCCTGGACCCGATATCGATGGGACACACTTTTATTCATCATCATCATCATCATCATCACCTTGGTTTTATCCAAGTTCATCCATAGGCCGATGCGTACAGAAGTGTCAGCTACGTCTCTGCCATGATGACGATGTCGTCTGCAAATCGCAAGTGAGAGATGTATTCGTCATTGATATTGATGCCACGCCCTTTCCAGTGCAGCGTCTTGAACATGTCCTCGATTGCATTTGTGAACAATTTCGAGGAAATAACGTCCCCTTGTCTCACTGCTCGATACAATGGTACGGGCCTTGTTTGCTGATGCTGGTTCTGTACTTGGCGGCTTCGTAGAGACATCTCATCACTTGGATGTATCGCCAGTCTACTTGGCAACGCTGCAGGGACTCCAGAACAGACCAGATCTCGATCGAGTCAAAGGCTTTCTCATAGTCCACGAATGCTAGACACAGGGGCTGATTATATTCTTCGGTCTTCTGTATAATCTGCCGCACTGTGTGGATGTGGTCTATGGTGCCATATCCGCTCCGAAACCCAGCTTGCTCCGGTGGTTGGAATTCGTCGAGTCTTTGCGCAAGACGGTTCGTGATGACTCTCGAAAACAGCTTGTAGACGTGGCTTAGAAGGGATATGGGTCGATAGTTCTTCAACCTGGTCTTGTCACCCTTTTTGAAGAACAAGACGACCACACTCCTACTCCACGCTTCCGGAGTTCTCCCTTCAAACAGGACAGCGTTGAAAAGCTTTTGGAGCTCCCTTTGTACGGGTTTACCCCCGGCCTTTAGCAGCTCTGTTGTAACGCCATCCTCTCCAGGGGCTTTTCCATTTTTCAGCTGTCCAAGAGACATCTCGATTTCGTCAATACTAACTTCTGGCAGGTCTTCGGTGTAATGACGTGTTAATGTGGCTCTAGAGTCCTCATTTTCGGGATCAGGTCGAGATGCATGCGAAATGTATAACCGGCCATAGAAGCTTTCCACTTCCAAAAGGACTGCCGGCTTCGAAGCAACGACTTCTCCACTTTCTGTGGTCAACTTCGTCAGGTGGCTTCTTCCTTTTCTTATATTTTTAATATATTTTGTTTTTTTTTTGTGTATGAATGTACATAACAATGTAATTTATATGTAAGCATACTTAATGAAATAAAAATAATAATAATAATAAATTCTTTATTGCCACAAAGTAGTACACATTAGTATACACATTATATAATGTTATTTCTGTTCGGACTATAATTTTGACATGTTTTAACTTATATGTATCATTATACAAACTTGGACTGTCTTGCGGACACGTTGTGTTGCTCTTACTTGTAGTGTTGCTAGCGAAGGCCGGTGAGCGCTTATTATTTTCAAAATCTGATGCGTCTTCTATGGGACGAGAGAATGCTATTTCTATCGTGTTCCCTCGCGTCTTGTATAGTAGGTACACATCAGAGGAAAGAGAACACCACGGAGAGCACATCATTATATCGCATGACTTTATTAGCTTATGTGTAATATAAAGTACCTAAACAAGAAATTGGATAAGAACAATAAAATAAAATAAATTGTTTGGGATTATTTCATATTTCACCAATTCAATCAGACTAAAGAATTACCAAAAAGTTCAACAAGTTATATATTTTTAAATTCGTGTTCCTGTATAATATTTGGTAATTTAAAACATACAAAAAAATCGTCGAATTGTGAACCTCCTATGTTTTTTAAGTCGGTTAAAAATAAACGTTGAAGGATCTGAGCAAGCCACAACCGCTCATGCCATTAAAATAGCTGTGTTTTTATTTTCTGCTACCCGCTATATCGGTCGCATAAATTGACTTATCGCACCATAATTTTTAGGACGGTTTTATTAAACTCTCTACTTTTACTCTTTTTTTAAACTGGACCCAATTTGCTAATTAGATTTATCCCAGAGACAAGAGAGATAGTTTTTCTTTATTTCTTTACGAAACGGAATCTTCTCATAGCCTACATATCCCTGATGTCTCTTTTATATTTAAGTTTAATTAAATAAAGGTTGTACAACTGAACTAAAAGCCCATTCAATACTTTCAAAGTAACTACTCTTTACTTAAAGATAAGAAGTTAAAAAAGAAGCTTGGATAGGATAAACCATTAGGTACAGAATAGTTGACCTTCACTAATATAACAAAATTCAAGTTAATTCCATTAAAGCTCTTATTGAAAAACTAAGCAGACAGTTTTGATTCAGTGGTACTATGTTTACGTTGGTTTGATATGGCGCGCGCTACGACAAACAAGCTGCTGTAACACAACAACTTTAAAGAATAGGAAAATAGAGGTGCGTAGCAACGGTACTACACTCAGATTAAAATAAAATAAATAAATTAGATACTCATTATACTATTTAAATTTTACACCTTTTGCAAGAATAATTTTGCTAATTTACCTTAGAATATACTAAGTACGAACAAAGTTTTCCAATGAAACTATTAACTATCTACTACATCCTTCAGAAGCCGTACTACTTAATCGATGCAACACCACAGCTGTATTATTATAATTGTTTAACAGTGTAAAATTTTAAAGACTTATAGTAACAATAAAGTCTAACCAATTCGGACATTTCTTTTCATAAACCGAGCTACAATGGTCCAAATACGAAGCTGTGTTTCTGTCTGTTTACGTATAATCACGTGGTCTCTACTCACCGGCCCGAGGCTGTCGAAACCGTGGCGAAGCGCCAACCTGTGGGCCTCGTCGTGTGCCACAGACCTCTTGAAACGCACCAGGAACGTGTTGGTAAAGACCTCGCGGGACGCGGCCGCGGCTATTAGCAACGTCGCAGCCAAGCATTGTAGCCACATGTTAACGCTGTGGCCGACGTCGGCTGACTGAAGCCTGACTCCCGCTGACGTCACCACATATCGACCGCCTCCTGACGCATGCGCCAGCTCGACCATTCAACCACACGATGACTTCCACTCCGCAACGTCCGAGCCTTTCCACAGATTATAAAAGAACATCGCCAAATAACTATTGTTTTCGCATGAACACCCTACTTTCTTGTGTCCGTTAACCACAGCATCAACTTTGTGCTGACAATAATTGAACTCACTCTCTATGCAGAGCATTCCCCTGTCCTTTTAGAAAAAATATTTAAAGGACTTTTTCTCTTTCAGTGTTAAAATTCAAACAATGATTAATATTTCTCCTTAACTTAAGATAAGGGGTAGGCAGAGGACTATACCTAAGCACCTTTGGGAATTTAAGGTGAGAAAATTCAGAACATATTGAAACGTAAGGTAGGTAGATTTGGATTGTGAAAAATGGTAAACGAGTCTTATTCATAATTTGATGGCCATGGTCCGTGTATGCAAATCGCGAAACTGTTATTTCACACCATGCGAGTCGATTGCAGATTTTAGGACCTTAGGTTCTAAGGGTTCAGGCGTAAGGGTATCTAAGGTTATCCCACCCGCGCAATATAGGAAATGGTGTGTTTAATAAGACATTATTACGTTAGCAAAGAGGGGTACTTAGTTGAGCTTTTTTTAAATTTAACATGCTACTTTTGTTTCTATTATGCAGAATTAGGACAATAAAAATGGTTGATGATTTAGGCTATTGTGCTACTGAATGTATGCCACTAGTTTCAGTGAGTCGGGACTGAAGTGAGACCTGAATAATTGCAAGATAAAAGAGTCTCTTCCTAACTATGCTCCGTGTAAGCATTGATCTGATGACAGTAGAAGTAACCAGACTAGAGCAATCGCTATACGGCTATAGTGATATACCTGTTAGCATAACCATATGGATATCGTGGAATGTTAAAGTTTGAACGTTGGGTGTTGTATGGTAATCAAAGTTTAGAGTGATTACGAATCTAGGTATACGCCGATAACAATCAAGATGCTGCTGATTACTAAGTGAAAACTGCGTTCAATCATGTCTGAGTTACCACTGTGGAGAAAGGCAATAGAACGAAACAAGGTTAGACGATCCTGCTCAGCGGACCAAGGGCTTAACTTTGTTAATTTTCTTTAAACTTGACATTATATGCTTATTTATATGATCACCTGATTGTGAAATTTCTACCTATTTTAATGTCTTCGTTTATTTCAAAGACCATTATAACTTGGGCTGTCATTTTAAAATGGCACATTGATAATTAAATAAATATATAAACAGTCACAAAACATTAGGGGAGGCCTAATGTTTTGTGACTGTTTTTACACACATTTTATAAGTTTATAGCCCATTTCGGTTCGCGTAGTGGCCGACATCAAACATCGTAGAAGATACAAACAATCAATCAAGATCATAGTATTATATAAAAGAAGAAACTGATTGGCTGACTGACTGATTCACTGACTGACCAATCAATGTTCGTTGCTAAAGATGCAATGTAAGATCGTGAAGTGTTTATACTTATTTCTTGCAACTGCTTTGGTTTATCTTAAAAAATACAGAACGTTGAAACATCAGTTTTTATATTGTTACCAACCTCACTCCAATTTGCACGAAAAATTATTTCATCAATAATAATAATATATAATATTCTACCACATTCACACAACGCCATCTAATCCCAAACTAAGCAGAGCTTGTACTATGGGTTCTAGACAACTGATATAAATACATTTTATTTTTATAAATACCTACATATATATTAAATCGTGATACATACGATACAATGCGAAACACCCAGACCCAATCAAACATCATAAGTTCATGCACACAAATGTTTGACTTGAGCGGAAATCAAACTCGCGACCTTTGGAAAAGCAGTCCGTTACACAAACCACTACGCCATCCGGTCGTCAATGTTAAGCACTTTCTGCTAAACCAATTTTTGTCTAATATTTGTTGAACAAAGTAATCCTTGCATGAAACAGGATCAATTTGCATCAAGAAAGGAATTTGTCAACTTCATTCATTTTTATGCAGAGCTTGACCAGAAAATAAGACCTCTAGGCTTTTTTTAAATAGTGATACAGTAAACTAGTTGCGAATCATAAGCACATTAGTAACATTTCATACAAATTTTTGACCATGTCTTTAGCCCCTTGCCAGATAAATTTCAAAAATTCCTTCTTTGTGTACACCTACATCATTTAAGGAACGTTTATGCAAAATTTCATGCTTCATGCTTCAGACCAAGTGGTTTCAGCTGGTGTTGATCGATTAGTCAGTCAATCAACCAGTCAGTTTATGATTTTATATATTTAAATATATAGATGTCTTCTTTGTACCCACTTAAACAATAACATAAAGATGAGTTACAATAATTATTAAAGATGTTTATCCAATTAAACAAAAGATTAAAGAAAAAAATATATATTTAAATATTATAATATTTTGTTATTTTTATCACAAATATGATACTATTAACAACATTTTCAGTTCAAGAGATTTAGTAGCTCATTCTGCCTTTTACACTAACAAAGTAAATATATTACTTGCCATATCACAAAATGTAAACTAAGAAGGCTAAACAAGAATAGGTTTTAGCCATTTGCCTCCTAGCTTATTTTATGATAAGGCAGTGTACTGTACTTGAACAAGCCTAATGAGCACAAAGTCGGTTGTTATTTTCAGGCCTGAGCTGGAGCTGGAGCTGGAGCGATCGACGGAGTGCTTGCACCTCCAGCTGCGCATTGTTTCTCCATCGCATGAGATGGAGGATGTTCCAAAACATTATCTATCAATCCAAAAGCTTTAGCTTCCACAGGCGACATGAAACAATCTCTTTCCATTGAATTTTGCACCCTTTCAAGAGGTAAATGTGTGTGTCTAACATATAAATCATTAATTTGCGATTTCAGCTTTAAAATCTCTTCTGCTTGAATTTGAATATCAGTCGCTTGGCCTCTGACACCCCCAGATGGCTGATGGACCATTATACGAGAATTTGGAAGTGCATGTCTCATACCAGGGGCCCCTGCTGCAAGAAGTAGTGATGCCATACTGCAAGCTTGTCCAACACACCAAGTAGCAACCGGGGGAGTGATGTACTGCATGGTGTCGTATATTCCTAATCCGGCCGTTACATTACCGCCAGGAGAATTGATATATAGATGCACAGGCTTTTTACTAGATTCCGATTGCAAAAACAACAATTGAGCAACAATAAGCGAACTTATTTCATCGTTAATAGGGCCCATAAGACAAATAATCCTCTCACGCAGAAGCCTAGAATATATATCGTAGGCTCGCTCACCTCTACCTGTTTGTTCTACAACAATTGGTATCATACCAAGTTTCAAAGGGCGACTGGTGCCAATGTGTCTCTGGATATTTATACATGTTTTCGAGTTCATTCTACACGAAACTCGAACAATTTGTTTCAGGTAATTTACTGCCATTTTTCCTTTAGAAGATTTATTACCTTATTGAATTTTCATAAGATGTCTTAAAAACTTTAGATGTTTCAAACAAAAAATACCAGATAATTTCGCACAATTATTATTTTGTAGTAAAATGTTATATATGGTCAATAATGACAGATTAATACCTGTTAATACCAATAATAATGTCAATTTGACATTGACATGACAGTACAGTAGAGTTGGGCGAGTTGGCTGAAAAAAAATTATTTATTTATTTATTGAGTCTTCCTGCAAACATATTGCATAAGGCGGACTTAATGCCTGAGGCATTTTCTTCCAGTCAAACCTTTGGGTGTTGCAAAGCTGTGTGTGGCAGGTGTATATTTGGGACAGGTAAAGATGAGTCTCATCTGGCTATGAAGCCATGTTACAATGGCAGAAAAGAACAAATCCTACAGATATATAAGTAGTAGATATACATACATATAGTTTATACATATAAATATCATAATGAATGACAAAAAATATATACGAGTAATTTATTATAATTTATATGATAATAAATATACTCTTAGGGTGTTATTCTGATGACTCCGTCAACAAGTCTCTATAGAGATTCCGTAATTTAAGCTTAAAAGTGTATGGGTTAGTGGACATCCTGATTTCTAGTGGGAGTGTGTTCCAAAGAGTTACAGCTTGAACAGGGAAGGAAGAATGGACCATACTGAAATTATGTGAAGGACAAAGAAGGAGAAGATTGTTGGAGGAGCGAAGAGTTCTGTCATGATTAGAGCAGAGATATTGAAAGTGGGATTTCAAGTAGGTGAGTTAGGTGAGTGGAGAAGAGAGTGTAACACAGTCAGAGCTCTCGAACTGCGGCGCTGTCTTTTAGGTAACCATGACAGTTGCGTACGGTAAGCGGATATGTGATCGTATTTTCGCAGGTTGAAAATGAATCGAATGCAATTGTTGAGAAGTCGGTCTAATTTATTGAGCAGATCTGCATTCAAGTCGAGATAACACACATCACCATAGTCGATAAGTGGAAAAATTAAACTCTGCACAAGCATCGTCTTTGTTTTTATTGGGAGGAAATTTTTAAGGCGATAGAATCCTCGTAAAATATTCGTAACCCTCTGACTGACACTAGTTACCTGAGTTTGCCAGTTCAGAGTCGCATCGATGTGCAGACCGAGATCCTTGACCGATGTACTAATAGGCAAAACGGTGTCATTAAAGATGATGCCAGTAATATTATCAAGATCAATTCTGCTTGTCATTCTCGGACTTCCTATGATGATCGCTTGGCATTTTGATGGGGTCACCGTTAAACCGAACCTGCAGGACCAGTTTTTTATGGTCTCTAAGTCTTGATTAATACTATTTACAGCTTCGTCCAAATTTTCTACTCTTGCATGTGAATAGATCTGCAGGTCGTCTGCATACAAGTGATACGAACACCGAAGTTCATGGGTTATGAGATCGATAAATAAAGAAAACAGAAGAGGAGAAAAAATACCGCCTTGTGGAACACAAGAGTCGAGTTCGGCCCATATCGATGAAGATTCATCGGTTCGGACGGACTGCTGGCGTCCTTGAAGATAGGACGAGAACCATTCCAGTGCATCATCGGAAATCATGAAGTGGGTTAGTATTGCTAGTAGGATATCGTGACTCACAGTATTGAAGGCGTTCGAGAAGTCGATAAGGGCTAGTACAGTTATTTTGCCTTCCTCCACCGCCGCTTTGATATCGAGAGTCACTTTGAGCAACGCTGTCTCTGTACTGTGTCCCGGTCGAAATCCTGACTGATATGGGTGACTGATAAGTTGCTTATGTACGCAGGCTTCTAGGACTTTGGAGAGAAATGGAAGTGGATGGATATTGGACGAAAGTGGGTAGGAAGAGAAGGGCTAGGTACTTTGGCTAATGGACGTACGTAAGCTTTGCGCCATAAGGATGGAAAGACATTGGAATCAAGGGAATAATTGATCACATAAGTAATGGCTGGTAAAAGCTGTTCCAGGATAGCGGTTACCATAAAACGGCTTATTTCATCACAACCAGTGGCGTTGGATTTGATGGACAGGATAAATTGTTTGACCTCTTCTGGTGCAGCTGGAGAAAAATCAAAAATGACTTTGATTTTAGACTAAGACCACTAAGGCACTAACATTTATCGCGAAATAATAATTGGATAAATAACAATTTATTATTTTTCTCACAAAAATTAAAAAAGAAACGCACTATGAATAAATTGGGTAAAAGCATTCCTTTTTGAGTAAACAACCAAACATAATCTCGCACTACATGTTGCTCTATGATTAAACCTTTGCTCAGGCGTGACCATCATTGAGATCTGGACTTTTGGGGACTTTTTCTACACTTTTAAGTAAACCAAATAAATTAGATAACATCTTGTCAAGAGACCGAGATAACGAAATGAGAGCCATGCTTGGGGCCATCTCGACCGAACTAATTCCGGTATTACGCAATTTTTTCTATGCTTTTCAGAGTGTTGGTAAGGTTACCGAAGCCCAAACGGGGAGTTTTCCCGAATTCTTTCTCAAAGTCGAGCAACATACTTGTGGCTCATGAGTTGCAGGTGTCCTTGTGCGGCGGTAGTCACTTCTTCTTTTACCTCAGCCCTTTCTGGTACACTCCTGTCCTGTAAATTACTTAATAAATCAAAGTTTCGAATGTATCGGTTTTACTGAATACTGGTTCTTCTATGACATTTAATGACTTCGACAGTATTGAGGTGTTCTTTTTATTTATATTTAATTCAAAAAAACACCTCAATACTGTCGACTTTAAAATTATCTATTTTATTGACTTGGTAGTGCTTTTATGATTTTTTTTTTCACGCTTTTGCTAGGCTTTCATTTTGAAAATTATGTATACTGCTTGTGGTGTGATTAGATTATAATAAGTAAAATTATGAGATTATAGTAAAACGATGTTCCCCGTAAAAATGTGCATGAAATAATAAATTCTGAGGTCATCTACCAGGTTGGCGAATTCGACGACTGTAAGGTATGTAAATATTTTTAAAGTGGATGGATTGTTATACAATATTTTAATAATCATAACTCTGATAACACGTTCATGTATTGTATATTATCACTGATTACAAATCACGCAACATAATTTTACATATCTAACGATCATTAATTTTATATCATTTTGCTCTGAACTTGTCGGCGCCTTAACTTCATTAAAGCTTCCTGTCTTTTCTTTTCAATAATAGACTTTATGTCTGAACCATTATGATTCGTTTTCTCTTGGGTAATTTCAATAGGTGGCTTTTGAGACCTTGTAACAGTACTGGGGACTCTGAGTTGGAATTTTCTAGCAACAGCTATTTCTTTGCTTTTTGAGGGTTCATCTATTTTCTTAGAAATATCTGGTTGTGAGGTTAGAGTAGAGGGAACTATCTTCTGTGATGCTGTGAATGGTAGAAGCCTTTTAGCCAACAGTTTTTCTCTAGCAAGCTGGTGTTTTTTCTTTATTTCTTCCTGTGTGCATCTTATAGGAGAATCACCGCCTGCTGAAAATAAATAAATATTATTATTTATATTATTTTTATTTATTATTATATTTATTGACATTGATTTAAGATCTAATTGGGACCAATTATCATTAAGCCTAGTGTGCCTTGATTATTTGTTCGTATAGATAACAACATACAAAAGAGACGTAAATTAAGAAAATTTATTAACTCGTTCAAGTTCTGTAGGCTTGGGATTCCCATGATGAAAGGCTTGTGGTGTCCATGTCATAACCTTCTACCTAGAATTTACCCTATATACTTGTCAATGTCGTAATAAAACATTTTTTTTTATCTGAATGTAATTTAGTGCTATAATAAAGCGATTATTTACTTACAAAAAATGATTTATATACCTTATCATACTGTTGTATGCTATGGTAGAAACAAAGATTTAAGGAATTTCTAGTTGAATTGTGAATGAAAATCTATTAAAATTATATAAACATGAAGCTATACCTGTTTCTGCATTAGCATCTTTTCCAAACGGCATTGAATTGTATCTTCCAAATACCATGCCACTAGTTGAAGGTAAATTTGTATTTGTTACTATGGGAGATATTGGCATTGAATTATGACGTCCAAAAAAGGACTTTGAAGATGGACTATTATCGTCATGCACAATCAACTCTTTTATAGTCCAACTATTGCTGTCCCTGGATACATTGAGTTTAGTGTCTATTGTCATTGTATCTGTTTTAGCTGGTGCCTGAGTCAATTTTTCCAGTGCGCTATCATTTAAATTACCAATTAAACTATCAAATGAATCATTATTTAACTTGGGCGAATCAAATTTCTTTTTCACTTTATTAACAACAGGTGATTCCAATTTTATACTATTTAATATTGCATCCATTGAATCTTGGTTCATTTTCAAATTGAAGTCAGATTTTAGCGTTTTGTTGTTTAACTTTGAATTTAAGCATGGTCTTTTTGCAATTGGTTCATTTATGATATTTTCTTCTACTATTTGACTAGCTTTTATTAGACATTCATTAATAGAATCATCTGATTCTAAAGCTGCATCTGTGTCTGGCTTGACAAAGTTGGAACTTAACACGTTTCTTCTTAAACATAGAGAATTACTCCTTAGTCTACTTTTGGGAGAAAATTCTGGAGAATCATTGAACACATCATCTTCACTTCCTGAATTTAGTTTCTCTGGACAGTTATTTTGAGACTTTTTGGCCATTAACTCTTCTAAATTTTGATTTAATTCTATCAGTTCTTGGAATAACTCAGTCTTTTTTTGAGGTAATCTAACTGGCCTTCGTTTTGGTAACTGTTTTTCTATTAATTTAGGTTTTAATGAACGTTTTGGTCTTCGGCTGACAGGTGTAGAATTTTTAGTACGTGAATAAGCAGTCTCCTTCGCTTTTGGTGTATAAAAGTTCCATACTACATCTGTTTCACCTTCAGCGCCATCTTGGGTGCAAAGGAATGGCACAGGACTGGCTGTGTCTGAGTCATATATTGAATCACTATCTCTTGATGGTGATTCTGCATGGTGTTCTGGTGTCGAACATGATACTGAAATTATGTACAATCACTTTAATTATATATTTATCAAAATTTTGTCAATTTCTATTATTTTATGATCAAACTATCTTTGTCTGGTACTTAAAATTACATACAACAATATTTGTTGTATGTAATTTTAAGTTTTTTAACAAATTTCGCGGTGGGAATGATTTTTGTATAGTAGATTGTTTTAGAAAAATTGAAGCAAAGATCACAAAAACACCCAACTTCAAAAAAAATACAATTTGTGGATCACATAAGGATTTGTCGCCATGTCCTAGAACTTACAACACAAGATGCAACAATAAGCGTGGCAACAAGATAATCTTCTTACCATCGTTCCATGTTACACATCATCATCATCAACAGCCTCTAAAATATTCCATCGCTGGACATAGGCCTCTCCTTAGAAAGGAGGTTTTGGCCTACTATACTACGCTGGCTAGACGGGATGGTTCCATACTACACCCATGTCAGTAAATGTTTTTACAAAAACCCAAAGAGACAATAACATAGGGACAAAACATTAGCTTACCTTTATGTTTACTCTTCATTGACACCATATCTTTAGAATTATGTTTATGTCTATTCATATGGACTGTTAGGACAGTTAAAAAAATATCTTTTCATGAGAATGTTATGCAAAATTATTGAATACGAAAGCAAAAAAGTACTAAATAAATACCATGAACTACAAAACGTCGCATTCTGTGTGTCAATAATTGATTTTTGACATGACACTGACAATGAGAGGCTGTCAGACCATCTTTTCAGGGTTGTCAATGAAGTATTCAATCCAGGCCGGCACACTTTAAATTGGGGATGGTCTAATGGAAAAATTATTCAATCAACAAAAAGGTTTCCCTTTAAAATAAACCTATGCAGTTTTTATACAACTGAATTTTGGGTAAAACATTTAAGTTGCATACAATGCACAACAAACACAGTAACACGCATCAGTCAACTAGTGCTGTCATGATAGTGAGCTGCACTAAAATCAGTTAAGCTATCACATACAACACACACACATGTGATAAATACTAACGAGCGAAATAAACTATAATACCACCAAATCTAATTCAGTTTTCTCAAATCTCAAAAAATATTGGTCAAAATGTTCGGACAGTTGATGCGATATACAGAGATCTAAACAAAACCAATTTGTTTTCTTCCAGTCCTTGAAAATTGGATATATATTGATATTGAAATGGTTCACCTGGTTTTATGAGAATCTGAGCTATTAATATTAACTCAAAAACGGTCATAACTTTTTAACAGATCGTTGCTTTTAAATGATTGCTAGAGTTTCGCTTATTTGTACATCTAATACATCGATTTTCGATAAAAAGGGCTGGAATGTATATTGACATTTCATGAAAATGAAGTTTAGTTTCTTAGTTGGCAACACTGGTGGGTGGCAACAAGATTACAGAATTACAAACGTCAGTCAGTTTACCATAGTCTGGCGTCCTTGTTAGACGTACAGCTACAGAATAACAATATTTTGTCGCGACTCGCGATGCTCATTCGGAAGTGACATTTACATTGTGAAGTGATAAAGAACTTGTGAAAATGTTGGCGGACGGTGAAGTGGTTGGAGATGGTTCATGGAACCTCACGATCTATGTGACAGACCTGAACGAGAAACGGACTATGGTCGTAAAAGGGGACATGCACATCGGAGGGGTTATGCTAAAATTGACGGAAAGCTTCGGTAAGTAAATCATTTGTTTAGGTAAACAACCTTTTGATTATACTAACCTAACATTTTAAATGTTATTTACTGTCATAACTCAATTTCATAAAAAAAGTCACTTGTGTGCCAAGTTTATACGTAGCTACTGACTCATGCATAATTTCGTACAGCCTTGAGTTCCATTACTTTAAATAATTGCTTAGCTCGCTAGATAACAGGTTTATTTACATAATATTTGTTACTGTAAACATCTTTTAAGTATTTGTGAAAAATTACGATATCCTTGTTTGTTATTTAGTTTTAAAATAAGTTTTTTTATCACAGGTATTTTGAATAAAGAGGCTACTAGTAATAATAATATAAAAGTTATAATGTGTGGAGACTTGATAACTAAATGAACCGATTGCCTATTAAATGTGTTTGATAAAGCCTAACTGATAAATGAATTAAATGTTAAATCAGGAAAATTAATTTATGTTACTGCATTTTCTTATTAGCACAGAAAAATAAATCCTAACATTCAAGAAGCAGATGCTTCAATATGATCAGAATGAAATATCAAAAAGATCAATTAATATTTGTTTTTGATCAAATAAGATACTAAATTCTGATGGTAATTGATTTTACTATAGTAAGATTCTTCATTTTCTGGAGGGGGGGGGGGGGGAGGGATTGATTCAACTGATCTCCAATATTTTTTTATATTGTTTTGTTAAGTTATTATTTGCTTGCAGCAGTTGTAATTAAAGTACAATAAATAAATTTTATCACTATTGGTAAGTAGATTAGCCTAAATGTATTAAATTATTAGATAGCACTGATCAAGCAATACAGGCACTTAATTAAGCGTTAAAGATATACACGTTACAACTGGAGGTTTAGCCTCACCCAGAAAGCTATCTTCATCTACTAATCTAACCAAATACAATCTAGCAAATGGTGAAATTTTGGTCTAATAAGAACTTCAGAGTTATATACCAGTCAGATTTAAAACAAACAAATCTCTAAAATGATAAGTAAATATTAATTATTAAGACTATTTCACACACATCATAACAAAACCTTTTATATTTAACATAAATATTTATTACAATTTCATGCAGTATATATATGTGTGCATTTGAGAGAATGTATTACACCATATACTGTAAAACAATATTATGATAACTGAATCATTGTTTCTTTCACACTCAAACTTATGCAAATTGCAAAATGAGACAGACAATAGAGAATCCTGATGACACAATATTTTTGTATTGATTGATGCTAAAAATTATGTCATTAGGGAGAGTTTTTTCTTTTGAATTTTATAAATATTTATTTCTCATTCTCACTGTGGGATATGTTTCTTGAGTTTTTTTTTAAAAGACAACTCCCGACCTAGGAATAAATCCTGTGTTGCGGAGCACTTCAAAAACATACATGATACGAACACAATGAACACCTAGACTCAGAACAACGATTTGTTTCCACAAAGTGTTTTACCATGTAGGGATGGAATCCACAACACAGCGCAGTAGGATTGAGGAGGGCACTTGCCCTGACTGACTGACTGATTCATCAATGCAGAGCCTAAACTGCTGAGGCTCCTTAAGCTTAAGCTAAAACTTGAAAGTTGTGTAGCTGTTGCTTTCATGTTGTGTGTTATGTTGTGCATCCACTTAAAAAATAATTTTGGAAATTTCATCCCTAAGGGAAGAATAAGGAATCTTACTTTAATAATAAGGAATTAACTTATACACATAATTTTTTGCCTATCTTCATTTTATGTATTTGATCTAATTGCTTTAATTAGTTCTATTACAAATAATGTGATGTATCAAAATGATATATTTTTTTAACCTATGATTAACAAAAACATTTAAAGCACACAAGGAATGAGAACTCCATATTCACACATTTGTTAGAAAAATAACAATAGTTCTATTAATTTTGCTCAAAATAACAAATTTGTCATTACAGTCATATGACGCACAGAATCTAGTGATTCAAAGAACTGAATTATTTAAAAGCAAACTCAATATAAATATATTAATATTATTATCCTCATAATTAAATAAAGGAGAACTATTAGTTTTTGCTTTCAATTTACTGTACTTATACTTACTTTAAATATAAACTTATTTACTACACTATATCTACTATACTTACTTTATTAATATATATATTTTAATATGCAGAAGTTCATAAAACTAGGAATGAATCATTAAAAATTAATTGTATTAAGTAAATGGCAAAAAAGCGAAAACAAATAAAGCTGGAGTTTTATTTCATTGTCTCTCAATACCAATAATAGAAATACAATATGTATGTACTATTATTAATAAATTTATCTTGGAATTCTATGTAGTATACACTATAGGTTATACTAAGAATAATAAAGTATCTGTAGTGGTTTAAGCGGTCGCCACACCGCTTCCTACTACGCTGAGTGTTGTGGATTCGATCCCCATATGGGACGACACTTTGTGTGATCCACAAGTTGTTGTTCTGAGTCTGGGTCTTTTTTGTGTCCGTTTCATGTATGTTTGTAAAGTCCCAGCTACACAGGATACATTCCTAATGCGGGAGTTGTCTTTCTTAAGGAAGAAGTATTTTACTTAGTTATACACAAATTAACTATCAATTGTATACCTGAGTTTCGGGAGTTAATGGCCGCGGTAGTCACTTTCCATCACGTGACCCATCTGCTTCTTTTGCTCCAATATCCTTATGGATGCAAAACACCTCTGGAAACTCTGAAAGCTAAGCTTTTTCTCTTAATTGTTAGCTGTAATGTATCTACTGTGCAATTGAAAAGCTCTATTAGGCAATGTTTAGAGATGAGAGGTGATTAGAAATATTTAATCGTAACTCGCTAAAAGATTGGGATAGATGTCTAAAAAGGAGGTAACAAACACTTGTAGAACGGCAATCAATGAAAAAAAATATTTATGCCATAAAGAAACTATACATGTGTCACTAAAATGAAAAGACTTTTTTTGATAAAATATAGTAAGATTTCTTATTTACACAACCACTACTGTCAAGAACAGTAGAACCTACACAAAAATAATTATAAAATGTTTTTTCCATCTAAAGAAACAAATGTGCCACTTCATAATACCTACAATCTACCTACAACACAATAGAAAGAGAGCTAAATACATCTGTTTAATATTTTACATATCATCATTCTATAAAAGCCAGTTTGGTTTGCTGACTGGTCCAGATAGCAATAAAAGCAATACCTGTCTGATTAAAGAGATGAGTGAGAGGGACAGTGTTATATGTTAAAATAAGAGAGATTATGCGCGTACGCAAGCACGCGTCCTTCGCGGCCGTTTATGTCTTGCGGTTCTCGGTTTTTGCCGATACTGCTTCAGGTTTAAGTATCCATGAAATAAAGGTGATTGGACGTTAGTTATTCGTCCAAAGGCCAAAATTATGATTACTATTGTTTTTCTATTCGATGACCTTCGTAGAACACCAATGCGTAAGTAATTTAATTGAGAATAAAAAATAATACATCACATTATCCTTCAATGTGGCTGTTAGACGTAAAAAAGTGTTTACAATTGTATGAATAATAAACTGTTATGCCTTGCGATTCACATGAGTTTAATTTTATGTTAAATATTTCTATGAAAACTGATAAAATAACTAATAATCACTTGCATACCCTTTAAAAGTGAATACATGGCAATTACATTCTCTTTTTTATCGACCATAACTACAATACAAGTACGTAAACTACCTAGTAATTTAAGCTCTCACCTACGCCAAATTATATAAATTTCAAAATGGCCGCCAATTCGCCCACTTAGGTCTAAAACTTGTATGTGTTAAACTGTGGAGTTTGAATAATATATACAGAAGTAACTTCTGTATATATTATTTAAACTCCACAGTTCATGAACTATACAAACAAGAGGCAAAGAATACAATTTTATAGAATTATTTACTTTAAAGGTAGCACTTCTTCCTTTTGCCCACCATTAGTAAATCGGGACATTTTTCGTCTCTTATGAATAGGATAACAGTAGATTGGGACAAACATTGCATTAAAGTGAGAGTAATATTATTGTGAATCCTAGTACAATTATGTATGGGTACGGGAGTGTTGCGAATTAATGCCTGTCTTTTAAGTGCCTGACTTGTCGACCATTCTGCACTGGTCCTGATTACAGGTAAACAGGCTAAGAACTAACTTGTACGAACGCATACTTGGAATAATTTAATATGAATCAAAACTCATATCAAGTGATTTGCACAAAATAATAGTCTGTTCTCCAAAGATATTTTAAAATGACTGCTATACCACATATTGGTGGCACCAAAAATAGCTATTCTCATTAGTCAGACAGCACCAGACAGTCCTAAAAGGCAGATATGTTAATAATGTCCCGTTGTAAAGAAAGACACTTCTCAAACAGATAAAGAAAATTGGTACCTAATGTTAGTTGTTTGAGTCGGTTGTATTTAAACCGTTTCTTACCTCCAACCACCAAATGAGCATGATGTATCAATAAATAAATAAAAAAAAAGCCGCAAAGAACACTGTGAAAATACCATTTTATTTTTAATGCCTTAAAATTAATCCTATTGATTATATTTTAAATGCTGTATTATTTCTTAATTGTACTTTCTTGATTGTACTGATCATCAGTTGGAGCACGGGACTCTTATAGTCCCGGTGCTTCACTCAGTTGGAAAACCTAGGTTAAGCAACGGGTCTGCCCTCAAATTCATGTGATAAGTGACTGTAAACTCTCAATTCAACCTTATTTGTAATATCATCTATTCAGGTACAAACAATGATATTAAACTGGAATAATGTTACACTTCCTTCAACTTAAAATGTATGACCGGCATTCTTCATTAGCTTAACTCAAAATGTAGAAGCACAAATATATAGAGACGTGAACAGATCAACGATCGATAAACGAGCAACGCAAATTATTTCATTACAGATAACAGCTTACGTAAATATTTAGCTTAATCTTTCATGTACATACGTTATGCTCATTCCGATAAGATAGTAGCTATATTGATTGCATAATGACAATTTACCCAGCTTGCTAAAATTATACCGAATTGCTAAACGGTATTATAGGTCAATAGTCTTAGTGTAGTTTTCTATAGGATGTGCGTACGCACACGTTCCGAGAAGCCGCCATGTTGAGTCGTTATATTTCCGGCGCCGACACCTCCCCCCTCTCCTTACCCTCTGTCGTAGATAACACGTTATCATCCGCTCATTGTTCCTCCATGCTGATGAGGTACTTGGCCAGTCGTACTGTAACGCAGGGCGATGACTTACTTGATATTTTTAGCGCACTAAGTCAATAATTCGAAGGGTCAAGTAATATACGCATATTATAGAAAGAGTATCGCAACTCTATCTTACTAATATTAC